GCTAGACTTTTTTTTTATCGAGAATGAGTTTTGCCCAATAACAGCTTTCCAAACAACACCTCTCTGTAACTATGAAAATGTACAAATCTGTACATATGTACAAATCGTGTGAACATTACGAGTCGACTCTAAAGCTAAGATTCCATTATCGGCACAGTGGGCCGATTTTCGGCGGATTTTATGCACCGATAGTGTGAACAAACACAATTTTTCGACATGCGGTAATCTGAGCCGAAATTGTGCTGACTATAAGCAACCGAAATTAATATTGCTGTACCGATAATGCGAACACTCTTTTGCTCATGCCGCGATCAAAATCGACAATTTGTTTATTGTTATTATTAATCTAGTACACTGAGCCAAAAGTACAATGGTTTTTTCAAGCAAGTTATTGTCTGGTTTTTTCATAGTTAATTCACCGATTGTACGAAATGTGATCCAAGTTGAACATTTGAAAACAAATTTGGTATGTCTAGTTGCGGCTGAACGTGAAGAGGTGTTTGCTGTTATTTGTTGTCGCCCAGCAGGCTCTAGTACGAATGCCGTCAGCGGCAACACATAATTTTTATTTTTTTTCCTGGTTTTGGTTTTTATTAATTACGAAAAAGCATCTGTGAAGTGCACAACCAAATCAAACGACGAAGAAACTTGAAACATTTAAAGAGATGCTGCGGGTTCAAATTCCGTCAGAGGCAACACGTTAAAATGACAATAAAATGTTTTGTTTTGTATCTCCGAATTATGAAAAAGCATCTGTAAACTGCACAACATAAGTGTATTCAAACGAAAAAATCGACAACCGAAAGCTTGAATAATGTAAACAAAAGAATGTTTAATATTACCAAATCATTGTGGAAAATATTAACCAAGGCATTGTTAATATTAACCAAAAATCACTTTGATTCCTTTTCAAGTTGATTCACGATGGTGTGATCATGTTGTAATGATTATCGTCGTATACTTAATTTGACCGATATGTACCGAAAAAGTTTGTCACAATATGCGATGACAACGGGACCATTCAAAACATAGCTGTCAAAATTTTTGAAATATGTACCAATCAAGTACGATGAAAATCGGTACATTTTGTGGCATTTGCGCCGATAGTGGGATCCTAGCTTAAGCGAAAGAGCAGGCACTAACACGACTATAATACAATTAGGCCCACTTGCAGAACATCCAGAGTTAAATATATAAATACAGAGTTAAGTAGCTCCGAGTTAAATTGTTATATTCCTAAACCAGACAATATCTTGCAGCATTGAAAACTGACCCACAGTTAAGAAACCCGAGGGATCTCTAAATTAAAAAGGCACCGCTCTCTCTTTTGACGTTTGTTTATATATCTTATCAGAATTTGAATATAAAATTTCAAACACTGCTGAGAGTTCTCTTAATTGGATTGACCACTACAGTGGTGGAAAAATAAATAGCAACACGATATTTTAACAAATTTTTCCTGTTTTTCTTTTGTTTATTTAATATTTAATATTTATTATTTTTTTTATAAAAGTATAGCTCATTATCTAACAAAAACCATATAAATTCATATTTCAAACTTTGTGCAAAAATTATAAAAATTCGGCAAAATTGCATCTAAATTTTAAACTTTTTCATCAGATTTTTTAGAATGAAAAAATAACAAATATTAAATAAACAAAAGAAAAATAGGAAAAGAATTTGTTAAAATGTTTATTTTTCCACCACAGTATGTTTTCAAAAGAATTTTTGAAATCTCAATTTATTTTTTCTTGCTACCGACAAAATTGATATCTAGAGTTAGAAAGTTAACCTTCGAAAATTGCTGGGCTAAATATTTAACGATCTGACTCTAATTTTACTCCTAACCATTGATTTTGCAAGCCAATTTACCAATTTAACCTGTAAACTTCGAGTTAAATAGATAACCTGCTGTTCTGCAAGTGGGCCTAGGTGTTTTAATCTATTCAAAAAATCACTACAACCCTTGTAGGAACTTTCCTCATTTACGAGATTTATTTATTTATGTATAAGTTCTAATATAAATGTGCTTGTAGGGAGCTGCCGATATAAACATATATTCAGGCTTAAAATCCTGTAACTATATAGTTTCCCCTACACTTCTTTTGAAATAGTATGCACAAATGGAGTAAAAGTAGGAAATAATTAAAACATTTTATACTACCTTAAAATGTTGTTTCTATGTTCTTTGGTGTGTCTTAGTTGAAACTTTCTATAGAAATTTTTATTATAGTAAATCGAGGGCATATATTCAATACCCTCTATAAGATTCTGATATAAAAATCCACTTAAGACTTAACTGTCACCGGTGATATTAATGCTGACTTTGTATAACGCTTGATAAAAGAATTTAATATAAAATTGCAAAGTCAGAATTAACATCAGTGATGGAACGTAAGTCCCAGAAGGGTTCTAACATCACTAACTAGTTTTTGTGAAAATTGCAGATAGAGGGTATTAAATATAAGCCCTCGAAATACTATACTATATTGCAAAGCGAGTTTATATAAATGTGGTAAAATGACAAGATTACAGTACAAAAATTTTAATAGAAAGAGAGATTATTATTTCAGATAGTTAAATATTTACTTGGTACTAGCACATGTTTTGGTAGATGGTATTTGGCTAATAAAATAAAAACTCTAAAAATATATTTAGCAGACCTTATTTTTTTATTTATTGTATAACCCAACGGCTAAAGTTTGTAGAAAATCATATCAAAATGGTCTCCATTTGCTTTCTAGCAGCGGCAAAGTCGGCTTAGTGACCACTCGATTACAGTGGGCACCCCATGCAACGGGAAATTTTCCACTGCTCGGACAAGGGCGAGATTCAAAGATTCAAAACTTGAATGTCGAGTCATAGTCCAATCGATTGAGTCTGAAAGTGAAATTGGAAGCATAATTTTGTGTAGATTTTGAGGTGGAGCGGAGTCTTTTTGAAAGCATCACAGAAGGTTTAGGCCACGTTGACCAGTCGGAACGAGTTCGGGCGCATGTCATATTGACAGAGCATACACCTTATCGTTCTGCTTATTGAACGATTCATCAACAATTAAACATTTTTGCGTTAGTAAACATTAATCATTTGTGACTGTTTCAAATATTGGAGTGCCCAGTGTGTCTCTTGTATCCGCTAAGTCCTAACTCACGTTTTATGTTGTGCGTCACGCTGTATGATTTTCTGCTTGCGCAGCGGATTTTTATGAATTCGATTCACTATGGCTTCAATGGATTTTTTCGTTCGCACAGTGCGGGCATAGCCGATTTTCCAGGGTCGACTATTCCACTAGTATCATAGAATAAATACATGATACACAAAATTTCGATTGATTTTAAGTGGTTGCAACATCTGAGATATTTCGCCATTTTCGTAAGCGGCAAACTTTAAAAGGGGGTTGCGAAAATGTCGGTTTTCAAATGGCCGTTAACTTAAAGTGAATATGTCGTGTATTAAAATATGTGATAGTACTACGTATAATATATTTTTAGCCATACATTCAGTATTTATTGGATTTTCTCAAATCTGCAACCTAAAATTGGATTTCATCGTACGATTTATTAAAATTTAATACGATTAAGATTATATAAAAATCGTTTCTGCCACATCCTATATAATAAATTAATAACTGCGAGACAACGAGATAATATAAAAATAATTTACTAAATTTTTAATAATTTAATAACAAATTCGTATTCAAAACCTGTATAATTACAAGTGGGTCTTATAGGGTATTTCCCAAAACCTTAACTGCAGTTTATGCCCATTGGAAAAACGAGATTATCACTCGAACGGGGTAATTGCTCATATTTAGTACATTGCCAATCACCCCATGTTAAAATAATTGGCACTTATCTGTGCTCTTAACTGCAGTTAAGCGTTTGGTGGAAATAGGCTGTTAGATTACAATATAGATTTGAAGTGGAAGCAGTGGAACATTTTATTTAACGAAATAAACATGTATGTACATTCACAGCTGAAAAATTTCGAATATAAATCTAACTCCGATGAGGAATCGCTAGAAATGAAACTCTCGAAATCTATCACTTGATGAGTGTAAAAATTGAGTCTGAGCTCAAGCTAACTTTTTTTTTCATGATGGCAATTTTCTCTACTGCTAGTTTTACTGAATTGCGTTTCTATGCGCACTCAATTTAATATCTTTGCTTCGCTTGTTTTAAGGAGGTGCGTGATACTATAAAAATTATTGGGTATTCAATGTTAGTACATACTGTCCTCTAATAAATGGTATTTAACCGACTTAAAAAAAGAGGAGGCTATCAAATAGTCGGAATATTTTTTTTATGTATGTAACCGCATGAATTTGGACCACGTTCACCGATTTCTATAATTAGTTTTTCTTTTTGAGGAAAGGTGGTACCTCAGAGGTGATCCCATACTAATTTGGTTTAGATCCGACCATTGGATTATGGAAAAATTAACGGCAATCTTAAATTTGTATGTGTTATCAATGTTTCTATTTGCTTCTTTTCTTTATTTGCACTTTATTCCTGTTCTTATGAATTTATACTTGTAAACGGAAAATTAGAAGTGAATGGGAGAGAAAGCGATTGAACCCTAAGTATATCAAGAGTTGAGTGCAGAGAAAACAGGGAAAATTGCTTCATAAATAAAAAGGTTGCAGCTTGAGAACACATACAAACAAAGAATTTTTGAAAAAAAATTTTTTTACCTTCTAGTTTCAGAAGCAAATTTTTAAATTAAAAAGAGGAAATTGTGAAAAACCGTTTAGCCCCATTTTAATTAGAGTATTTACGGTCGGTCCCTCAACAAAATATTACTAAACTTATCATTTTTATTTTTACTATTTTTGGCCACAGATGCGACGGTTGCGGCAACACGAATTCCATTGAGCAATAATGCTACATACGAGACAACGGTCGAAGCAACATGCCCTGGATGCTGCAACGGTTGCCTCTTGTGTAGTCAGCATGATTCTTAAATTTACGATGTTTTCCTTAATTTTTATGTACTTATAGCAATTCTGTATAAGCTTAAATTGGGGCAGTCTGTTACCACAATTCCAACGGTAGGGTTTAACGTCGAGACGGTAACCTACAAAAATGTTAAATTCAACGTTTGGGACGTAGGCGGTCAAGATAAAATTCGGCCTTTATGGCGACATTACTACACAGGTATTTCTTATTTTTGTACTTAATTTTGAGTATTCAGTAATCTTTGGGTTTTTAGGTACGCAAGGCTTAATATTTGTAGTTGACTGCGCTGATCGCGACCGAATAGACGAAGCGCGAACGGAACTCCACAGAATAATAAATGATAGAGAAATGAGAGACGCAATTATTCTGATTTTTGCCAACAAGCAGGATCTTGCAGATGGTATGATTCTTAACTTATACTTTACCAGTTTACAGCACAACCATCCAATTCCTTTCTAAATCGATTGGTAGCCCCGATGTAGCGATGTAAAAATGCATTGCTATGATTTATAAACATCGATAAAAACGGTACGGAGTTTGATATTTAACATCGATGTTTAAAATTAGTGTAATCAAAAAAATTTACGATACATATGTCGGTAGACGCATGGTCTGCAAATCGTACGATTTAAAATTAGGCCGATTTACAAAACCTGTTATGGAGATCTCCTCACAAAAAAGAAAATATTTGGCACCACATCGATCGATATGACGTAAGTGTTGTGTTTCTAGCGCTCCTCAGAGGTGAAAACCGCATGGTATTGGGTGAATTCAATGAGCACAACGATCTTCGGTATTCAGGCCTGTTAGGGCTGGTCTGGAAAACAGCATAACGTAGAGACCTATAATGTCGGTAGCATCGGATCACCTGCCCATAATCGTATCGATCGAAAGACCCGCCAACTTTGCTTCTGCGGGACACAGAACGAGAAGTTGCCAAAAGCACCTTCGCCGCCCTTCCAACACCATGCACGCAAATTCAACAAGGTTGCCATTGCAGGCGAAGCCCCCCTTCATTTCCGTTGGATTCATCGTGGAATCGCCCAAATTTCTAAGCGGCTGATCTAGCGGATCATCTTCGTCAGGCCAATCCCGTATCAGAGATTTCAGTGCGTAGATTCAGCAACTGGTAGACTAACATAAGCGGAAGTAGTGGGTGGGGCACCTGAAGATTTGTAACGTAGCCTCTGGTGTGGGCAAGCGTTGACCGACCATAACGCAAGTAGGTAGTCCAGCCCGGTGTGGCGCGATTGCAGAGTGGAGACCTCAGGGGAAAGCCTCCAAATATGGAATATGTAGATTTATATCTGGCCAAGGACTGTCACTCCAGCATCGTTCCCCAAAAACTATTTGGGGAATTTGCATGCTGTTACAACAACAATACGGAATATGCATCTTGATGTTGAAAAAATTGGGTCCAGCGGGTGTAGACTACCTCACCCTGGTCCTCAATCAGAACGATTTATTCAAATGGAGTCGCGATAAGGCTGGATATGCCAATGGCCACTCTCATCATTCCCGAAGTGTGGAAATTGGGGAGAGTGGTCCCAATGCCTAAACCGGGGAAATCTGCCATCAAAGGGGACTTTCAAAATTTCTATGCGTACATAAAGAATAAAGCTGTATTTACGTGAGGCGATTTTCTTAGCGATTCCTCATCGCCTGAGAAATCGCCTGTGAAGTTGCTTTCCAGTACAGTTTTCAGTGTGTTTACGTGTTGATAAACCAGAAAAACATGATTTATTCATATTCATTACAAAGTTGTTGCTTAGCAAGTTGAAACTTCATTTACACAGGATATGTTTGGTGAAGTTATTTTGAATCGTACGCTTTAGTTATTTGCCCAATGATTTCGAGCTATTGTGTTCGAATGGGTGACCCGATATAAAAAATTTTACACACACTTGTAGTCAAGGGTTGTTGTTGTTATTGTAGCGGCTACAACAACCCTGCCCAGATCGGTTGATATCTCAGTCGTTGTCGTCAAGTTCCACTAACGGCAGCCCGAGGAATCGTGCAGTCTCCACTGGGTCGGTCCACAGGGACAAAGGAGTTAGGGTTGTCGGGTTTTCCGGGCATGCGAAGAGATTTTTCGAGTCATAAGGGGTCTCTCCGCATGCCGGACACTCATTTGGCACATCCGCGTTCAGTCTGCTCAGGTATGAGTTTAACCTGCTGCAGTAGCCAGAGCGAAGTTGGGCTATTGTGGTTCTTGTCTCCCGAGGCAGATGAAGCTCCGTCTCGTCAATGTCCGGTGGTTGTGTGCCTAGAACGGCATTCACTAGTCTAGAGTCTACATAACTTGAGACGGACTCCCTGTGAATGCCGTTCAGGGTCAGTCGGTATGCTGACGGGTCCAGAGGCTGCTTAATGAACCTCTGGACTTCGTCCGTCAGTTCGCATAGATGCCTCCTAACGTGCCGAGGCGAAGGCTCCTCTGCAAGCAGCTGTCTGTTTGGGGGGCCACATCTGTGGCTCCCAATCAGAAACTGCTTGCAGAGCATTATGTTATGCTCCTTGACCGGGAGCATTTTTGCCTCGTCATGAAGGTGGTGCGCTGGCGACATCAGGAGGCATCCAGTCGCTGTCCTGAGTGCGGTGTTCTGTGCTGTCTGTAGCTTCATCCACTGCGTCCTACTAGTCCCCGGCGACCACACTGGTGCTGCGTAGTTTAAAACCGTCCGGCCTATTGCCTTGTATGTTGCCAGCAATGTTTCTTTGTCTTTGCCTCAAGTACTGCCGGCTAGCGACTTGAGGACCTTGTTGCGGCCTGACCTCCTTTGCCCAGGTGGTGAACAAGGTCGCAGAGGATTTCGTAGGGGAGAGGGCTAGACACTTTGCAGTGAAGAAGCGAGAAAGCTCGGAGAGATATCCGTTTACTTTCGAACACAAGTCATCAATTCCATTCCCAGTCGCCATGATCGAGCAATCGTCGGCGTAAGAGACAATCGATACTCCCTCTGGTGGTTGAGGGAGCTTTGAAATGTAAAAGTTAAACAGTAGCGGGGAGAGGACACCACCCTGAGGAACCCCCTGTTTTATTTTCCTCTGTTTACTCGTTTTGTATCTAAACATTACCGACGAGTGTCGACCACTCAGATAATTTGCCGAACACGGTTTGAGCCTCTGTGGGAGAGAGGAGGCCTCTATATCTTCTCGTAGCGTGGAATGGCAGACGGTGTCAAACGCCTTTGACAAGTCCAACGCTACTAGAATCGTTCTCTCACAGGGACGGTTTCGGTTAAGGCCACGAGTTATCTGAGTGTTTATGGCGTTAAGTGCTATTGTTGTACTGTGCACTTTACGGAAACCATGCTGATGCTTCGCTGGGGTCAGGTAGTTCGTGAAATACGGGAGCAGCAAAGCCTCAAGTGTCTTCGCTACCGGGGAAAGGAGTATTGTCCGCCGATACGAATCTCCTTTGTTGGCAGGTTTACCCGGTTTTAGCAGTGGGACCACTCTCCCCACCTTCCAGATATCTGGGATGATGAGAGTGGCCATAGACAAATTGAGGACCTCCGTTAGGTACGCTACTCCAGCAGGACCCAAATTTTTCAGCATCCGCATGCATATTCCGTCGGGACCCATGGCTTTGGAGGCTTTCGCCTTCCCGATGGCCACCTGAACTTCACCGCAAGTGAAAGCAAGGGGGGCACAGGTTGTTGGCAGTTTCTGCAGCCTTTTGGTCATTCGGCGCTTGGCTTTGTCCACCGGAGGATGCAGTATGAACTGCCGGCTAAAATAGCTCGCGCATCACTCCGGCTCCGACGCAGCATGGTCGCCTAAAGAAATTTCGACTCTGTCGTCGTGCTTCGTCGGATTGGACAGCGACCTCAAGGTTGACCAAAGCTTACTCACACCAGAGGCGAAGTTACAGGTCTTCAGATGTTCTTCCCACTTCTTCCGCTTATGTACGTTCACTAGTTGCCGAATCTCCGCGTTGAGATCCCTGATACGGGGATCTCAGGGATCGGCCTGACGAAGGCTGTCACGCTCATCGGCTAGAACAGCCGCTTCGGCAGGGAAATTTGGACGTGGGTCCGTAATACATCCTGCCGGTACGAAGAGAGCTGCAGCAGCGGTGATAGCCCTGCGGAACTTGCGTTCATCAAGGTGGACGTCGGTTGGTGTGGGGAGAGCAACGAAGGTGTTTTCAGTAAATTCCGCGAAGCCTTTCCAATCAGCTTTAGAAAAGTTGATATAGGTCCGGTATTCCGCAGAAGCAAAGTCGGTTGGTTTGTCGATCGAGATGACTATGGGCAGATGGTCTGATGCCAAAGTCAGCATAGGTCGCCATGATATGCTGTTATGTCTGGCGAGCTGCAGCAGCTGCCCATAATCCTGGTGGGTGCGTCGTCGTTCATTGTGCAGAATGTCGAATCGTCTTATCTGCTCAGCCAAGTCAGTTCCTCTATGATCGTTTGACAGGCTTGAGTGCCAAAGATCGTGGTGCGCATTAAAGTCACCTACTACCATACGGTTTTCACCTCTGAGGCGTGCACCATGTCCGGGTGATATCCTGCCGGGCAGCAGGTGACAGGGGGTATGTACACGTTAAATATTTTGAGCTCAACATCGCCTGAGCAATGCCCTGACATTCTAGGGTGGTATCCCTGCGGTCGATGTCTGCTTTGATAAGACGATACTGCACGGTGTGGTGCGTGATGAACGCTAAGCCACCACCATTATCTCGCTCGCGATCTCGACGGTGTACGTTGTACCCGGCGCAATTCAACAAAGTTGAATTGCTGTGCAACTTTGTCTCTTGGACCGCAGCTATCAATATACCATGCCGACACATGAAGACGGTTATCTCCTCAATCTTGCTCTGTAGCCCGTTGCAGTTAAATTGAAGGAGCTTCATGTGGTTCGGGAGACGTGTGGTGATGCGAATTGTAAGAGATGTGTGTGGCCGTCACGCCATTGGCTGTGTGCGCTGCTGAGGTGGTTGCGGTCCTGTGGTGGTGGTGGGTGGCGTCGCAGTTGAGGTTTGCGACCGTGCGGCGCAACACGGGCCCTCAAAGTTCCTCGTCCAATCTCGCGTGGTGCGCAGACCTGAACATGCCCTAAAGTGGCACCAGCCAAGGCAGGTGTTGCACTTGACTGATGTCACATTACGGAATAACCTGGTCTGACATACCGTGCAGATTGTAGGAGGAACCAAGAGTTGTTGGCGGCGGCGTGTGGGTGGTGGTGCGATTGTGTGTGTTCTGTGGTCTGTCGTGGTTGTGGTTGTGGTGTGGTCTATTGTGTTGTTATGTTGTTGTGCTGTGGTGTTTGTGTGGGGCTGCTCAGGTGGATTGGGGTTAGCCGTGGAGGCTGCTCTGTTTGAGCAGCAGGGGGGCCACATACGACCTGGTCCACTGCCGATGTGTCCGTAATCATGAGCACACTCTGAGGTGACTCCACCCCTCGCAAGCATTACCCTGACTGAGGTGGAGTTGTGGTATAGTCATCTCTGGAATACACAGCAGGTGTAGGTTTCTGGCCTTGTGTTTGACTCGATGCCAGCCCTGAGCAGAACAATACGTAGC